AGCATTAAGGTTGAACGAAAACAATTTCAGAGCTCTCTATCGGAAAGCAAAAGCTTTGAATGAACTGGGAAGGTATAAGAAGGCTTATGATGCTGTAGCAAAATGTTCTCTTGCTGTGCCGCAGGTAGGTAAATCATTTATTGGTGATTATTTTTAAAGATTTAATACAGAAAACCTATACTTACATCAAGACCATTGAAGATTTTTTGATTGGTTTGGGTTTTTTTAATGCAGCAAAGTATTTCTTTACTCCTCTGGGAATTATTTTTTGTTGCAGAGGTGAAGACTGATAGCAGGGATTATGGTCCCCAAGCTCAGTTTGTTGTGTTAACTTTCAGCAAAAGGAATAGTCAATTTGCAGTGGGGGTCAAATGCCAAAGATGTTTGCAGTAAACACTAGAACCACTGAATTAATTGTTTAAAATTCTCTACAGTCAGAAGTATACTCATGACATAAAGAGAAAAACCACCCATAATTACAACATACAATATTGGTTCTTTTGATAACTATATTTTAGCTTTCCAAGCATTTAGTAACATTCTTATCTGTGCATTGTCCTCCAATGGAATCCCTTACTATGTACCTCTAAACTTAGGCTATAGCTGTATTAGCGAGCACTGTGTGGTATAATAGAGGAGGATCTGTAGACTGAAATGCTGGTCCTGAGGATCTGATTTTGATGGTTGGTTGTTGTTTTTTAGGTTTGTTTGTTTTTCTAAGAAAGTTGGAGGGCATCAAGTGCACTCCTGCAGCACTTTCAATTTAGTTTCGTTCAAAATGAATCTGATTTGTCTCCGTGAGACCCTTCATAATGCAAACTGAAATGCAGTCAGTGAGGATGATTAAGAGATTTCACTTCAGAACTGCATTCCTGATTTGAACTAAAATGCTGATGGAAACTTTACGTGCTTTGCTCAAAATAGACTGATCACAGGACAGAATACTGAGTTGCACTTTTTTGCCTTTCTGCATCAGAATTATGGCTAGGCAAACTGTTGAGCATAGGTTTACCTCTTGATATACAAAAGGTTTCAGTTGTATTTCCAAAGACACAAGCGGTTTATCTGAATGTATATGTAACTTTGGACTTTGGATCTTCACTTTGCACCTCCAGATCTGAATGTTTTTGCTTAAGGTTTAGATGCCATTATATAAGCTTTATAAATAGCTTTTTTTAGCTGTAGGACACATTCTGAAAAATAAATCTTAAAATAGTTTAAATGGGTAGTTATAGAACAGAGTGAAATATGACAATGTTTTTAACTCTGCTTTTCTAGTTGTATGATGCAATTACTGCCAAAATACAGAGTTCTCATTAAATATTCAGCAGTGTTATGTAGTGGCTGACATTACGGTAATCAGAAATGCGGCCCTCAATTTGTGTAAAAATAAAACATATACCCCCCATACCCTCAAAGAACAAACACCCTCCCTAAATAAACAAACAAAAAATACCTGCCCACAAAAAACCCCACTTCTCTGAGCTTCTCTGGTTTTGGAAAATTCTTTACATTATTTTAAATTCAAATGAAAGTAAGAGAAGGATACTGTCTATTTTGTGGCTTTTTTAAAAATTTCAAATATTGGAGTAATTTTGCTTGAGGGTAGCTGTATTTTTCAGTGTTAGCTTGCAGTCCCATATGTTTGTGAAAGAATAAAGATGCATTATGGGACATCCTGCATGTAGGGATTTAGCAGAATGTAGACTGAAATGTAAACAGATGTCTTGACTAGATGACAAAATATGTAAATTATGAAATTATATTTATCTTTCAGGATGAAAGTGTGATTAAGCTTACCCAAGAACTAGCTCAAAAACTAGGGTTAAAAATAAGGAAAGCATATGTAAGAGCAAAGGTAAGATTTTATTTTAACACTACGCTGGGTTTTCCCTCTTTCGATAATTTTGTATGTAATGAAGATATCTTTTCATTGCAGCCACCCTCCTCAAATTCAGTTTCTAGTGATGTATCAACTCAGGTAAGGTTTTACATGTTCCAAGTGCAAGCTGACTTTAAACTACAGGGAATAATTTTTTTATAATTTCACGATGATGAAGTGAAAATGATGCATTTGACATTTTATGTAAGATGTTATTATTTTGGACTTTTGGATTTTCTTGATCTTTGTTCAGTTTTGCTGTATATTTATGGCATGTCCTGTGACGAGGACACGAGATTATCATTCAGGTTATCTTTGTAGAATGAATCTTAGCTAAAACATTAAATCCAGTACAATTAATATATTTACTTTTAATTTCTTGAGGCAAGGGCATAGTTAATGTGCTTATTTATTTACTTTTGTTTTTATCAAACTGAAGGGTGCTGGGATGAAATCCCTTTTAATTTATGCATTTGTCTAAAGTTGACCTTCACTAGCTGCTGAACTTGCATTTATCTTGCTATTTGTAATCTGTCTGAAAAGCAGGAA